TAGTTTTTAATACTCTGTTAGTTTCTTGTCGATGCGTATAACCTACCCCATCTATACTATTACCTAAAATGAGGAAGACCATAATGTTGATGACTTGAAATGCTCAAATTTGTTTTGTACATTTGCGATCCATAAGTTTGGGAAAGACATATAATATGTTTTAAATTAAGGTTGTAAGGTTTTTTCAGGTTAGTTTTGACTTTGGGGTTCAAAATGGAAATAATGTATCGAATTCCTTACAAGATACACTACTAATAAACAAGGCTTCTATGTATAAGTGATTGTTTTCATCAATACCTATCAACTCCCAAGTTGTCTCAATTCTTGTAAATGAGTCACAAAATGAATAAATGAGGGATGAGATGGTTTTCTATGGTTGTATTGACCCCAAATGATACTATAACACGGGTACTATTAGTAAGTACAAAAGTACTATATCGTTGGCACACGGATACAAAACAACTGTTCCGTCCATCCATATACATGCCACCGAATATACTAGTCGTTAGACCAATCAATACCATAACATTGATGACTTGAATTGCTCGATTTTTTTTTACACATGTGTGATCCATAAGTGTGGGAAAGACATATAATAGGTTTTAAATTAAGGTTGTAAGGTTTTTTCAGGTTAGTGTTTACTTTAGCGTCCAAAATGGAACAAGTGTATCGAATTCCTTACAAGATACACTACTAATGTACAAGGCTTCTATGTATAAGTGATTGTTTTCATCACAAGTGACCATATTCAATACCTATCAACTCCCAAGTTGTCTCAATTCTTTTAAATGAGTCACAAAATGAATAAATGAGGGATGAGATGGTTTTCTATGGTTGTATTGACCCCAAATGATACTATAACAAGGATACTATTAGTACAATACATAAGGACTATATCGTGGAAACTATAATACGTAGATATTGTACGATCTATGCGTGAATTCTAAACGTGATATACAGAACCGTAGAAAAACAATAATTATCACTATATTGTATGAGTACATTTCTTACGAAAAACAACAATTGATTCATCGATAGAGTTAATTTATTCGTAAGTACCCAAAGTACTTACACATTTACATTACAATACGATTAACGAGCTACAATACACGACACTAACTTTTAACTCGTACTATTACGGTGATTAGTTAAGAAACATTACATAGGTTTGACAAATCATGTAAACTGCAAATATTACTAGGTTTAACACTATCAAACTTTGAATTACTCCAGCTTCATCTTTGGAATTCTTCACTTTACTTTCGCGATGAACTTGGTTCGTCGATCCACTCGTAGCTTCACTTTCTTCATATCGAGAATAGTTGTGGGAGAAAGTTTGCCCAATTTCAAATGGCTCATACCAATGAGAATAGCCATGGTCTGGGCAATTATAAAATAGCCTCCCTGGATTCAAACTTGTCTCCGAAACCATGATTATTGTATTTTTCCCACAATCACGACGCTTGCAGTTATCTTTTTTATATTTTAAGCTACTCTTTTGAGAGTTGCTACTGGAAGAATCCATCGAATAAGAAGCAAATGAACATAATTATGTGTTTGTTATAAGTTCTGACGACAAAAGTAACGGCTATATTATTGTAACGGTCATAAAATTCAAATCGATTCATCTATTATTCTTCTGTGAACTATATTATGTTGTAAGTTATACCATATCAACGTAACAACAATACTATTGTAACTAAAACAGTGCGCTCTATTGTAACTAAAATAGTCATATCATGGTACATAATAGAAATAGATTTAACAGAGTGCAAATGGATAAATAGTAACAACAGAGTGCTACGGGACTGGTTGGTTGCACGTACGGCGATTATGTCCAGGTTTAACACACCGTGCACACTTCGTAACATGGGTTTCGACTTGCAATGGAATTCTTTTCGTCCTTCTACGGCCTGGTTGAGCTTTCGATGTAGGTGGATTAATAAATACATCTTCCGGGTCATGATTTGTTTGTGCATTGTACAAATCAAATTCCTTGTCAAATGAAGGAATTGGATTAATTGTGTACTTATATAATTCTTTGTACAAATCAACCCGGAAGCAAGGATCAACATATTCAAATACCGAATATCCTTTCGACTCAATACATGCACATGCATGTTTGCACGGAAGTTTATCCAACTGCCAAGATTTGCAAGTACAGTCCTAGTCTCTAAATCAACACCATACGACTTTTCCTCTTCATACACCTCATGACGTGTACCACTGGATCTGGTATATTTAATAAGCGAGAGGCCGTATAGTTGATTAATAATCTCTTTTCAACTCTTGGACACACTGTACCAGCCATGACTAAAGAATCTTCCCATCGATTACCTATCATCTTCATTATTTTGATTCGTATCATATCAAACATGGATGGAAATGGCAAAGATCGTTCATCTTTAACCCAACCATTCCAGCATTCAACTTGGTTACTGTTCATTATTCCTCATCTATCCCCAGAAAAGTATGCATTGGCCCAACGATTGGGATCCGAGTCTCGGATAAATGATTCCGCACGAGGCATTGATTGAACTATATGAGATATATGTTCCTCAAACTCTTGCCGAGTAGGAGCAATTGCAGCCTTATGTAGAATACTCACCAAATATGCTTTGTTGTGCAATGGATACGATCTTAGAACCTTTGTTCTAAAGTTATCCTCCAAATGTCGCAAACAATAAGCATGGTTGCTACCAGTAAATACCAGTGGAATGGCTTTAATAAGCCCCGAATGACGATCAGAGAAAATTGTGCAATTTTTCAATAAACCCCCATTGTGATAAACAAGAATCTCTTTCAGCTTATTACAAAACCACTCCCAATTTCTATCATTCTCGGCATCAACAATTGCATAGGCCAATGTGTATAACTCGTCATTTGGATCTTTGGACACAACAAAAAGTAAGCAACCTTTGTACTTATTTTTAATATGAGTTCCATCCAAACACATCATTGGCCTACACCCACGGTGGAAGCCCAAAATAGAATTTCCAAAACTAATAAAGATCCGAAGAAACTTTTGAGTTTGAGGGTCAATCTCATAATCGGCACAACTACCAGGGTTATTCTGTTTTAGTGCACGACAATAACGTCTCAGTTTATCATAACAGCTCGACTCATCCCCATGAATGTCATACATTGCTTTTTCCTTACATCTCCACGCCGTATAGTACTTAAGCTCCACACCGTACTTTCTTTGAACCTCATTCAGAATAGCAATTGGTTTGTAACCTGGCTCATCTCTCAATTTTTGTTTCATAAGTTGTGAAATCCATGTAGCATCGGCTTTCGGATGACCCCTTATACGAAGAGTAGCATCACCACAACTATGCTCAAGAATACATTTGCGAATGCCGAATAACTTGTCTGATTTATGAACTGATGCATAAGCCCTCCATTTGCAATTTTCAACAATGCATACGGCTATGATCTTTTGTTGATCATTTTCTTGTACTTAAAGGTTCGATTGTTAGCAATGCAGTAATTTTTTAGCATAAACCTAAAATCATTAGCATCTTTGAAAATTTGATTCTCCCCACGTATGCAATGTCTCCATGCATCAATTGAATCTCCAACCGGATTGTACTCAATTTGCAACGGATTGTTGGAATTAACAGACTCACTAGAAAATTCAGAAACAATGAAACAAATTGGATTATTACAGTGGACTACAAATAAATTGTAACAATTGAAATAAGTACTTTGAGTGGAATGCTTGCATACGAGAACTCAATTTATAAGATACTTTGATATACAATCATTCCATACTATCAGTAGCCTTATATGATACCATGAGCTTAGTTATTCTACACTATCACTATATTAACAAGATACTATGTAGTATTATTCTCTATGCTATGATCACATAAACATATTGAAAATGCATACAAAACAGAATGGATGCATACCCGTGGCTGGGGGTCCTCCTTCTACGCCCATCAAGTTCATCAGTGAGGCTCACCACAATGTCGACCACACTCATGTACATTACCCAATGCAATGTAACCATATTGACCACGTCTTCGTCAGAAGTCAGTGTGACAAACATTCTTTCACGAGGAGCCAAGTATTGGAGCACCAATTTATCGGGATGTATATCGTTCCACTTTATTAAGATAGATTCACAGATCTCCTTTAAAGTCGAATCATTCTTAATGGAAATGATGTGCAGATAATCACTGTACCGACAACTTCAAATAACTTATATGTTGACCAGAACACGTTTTGGTATTTTTTTTTTTTTTACTTTTAGTCATTATTAAACAGAACTGAATGTTTATTATTTCTTATGCTATTAGTATTTACCTTTTATTATTGTTCAGACAAATTATGATTTACAAAGCAATCGTATTCCTATAGCAAGTATATATATATATATATATATATATATATATATATATATATATATATATATATATATATATATATACCCACTTTTTATGTAGGAATTGTCATGATAGGGAAGATTATGTAACACTAAATCAACAGGACTTATAAGGGGAAACAAATATTTTGGAGAATAAAAGAAAATAAGAAATAAATAAAATAAAATATAAAAAAAAAAAAAAAAAAAAAAAAGAGAGAGAGAAAACAACAGAAATAATTATTCAACTGCAACTACTCTAATAAAGATGAGAGAAATAAAACCAACAAATAAAGAACCCAATTCCATTAAGTTGTACTATGTGGAGTGGGATCCGATTATATCCGATTAACAGCATGTCTATTCAGAAGTTAATCTCTTTGATTTTATTAAATTTTTGTAGTGTGGGGGCAAATCTGATCCATACTATTTTATTTTATTTTATTTTATTTTAATAAATAATTTTAAGTGAAAATGATAGATTGGTAGCCGCTCAAATTATTATTTTATATATTTTTCTAGGGAATCCAAAACTACTTTTTGATTCAATGTTTCAGATGTAGTCCATTTAAAATAAATGATAACTAAGGAGGTATATGTCCTCAGCCATGTTTTGAGAGATCGAACCCTAGAAAAATCCTACTTTATTTAGAAGTATGTGTTAGTAAACCGATAAGAAGCCCACGAAATATCTTTACAGTATTGAGTTTTTAATTCTACAAACTGAAACATACAGTGACAAGAAGAGTGCTACCATGGGCAAAATCTGCCACACAAATACAAGACTATCAATGACAACTGAAACACCTCTACATAACAATTTATATTTCATGATGATTTGTAGTACATATCGCGCTTCATTTTACCGAATTAAAATTCATCATGTGCATCGAAGCTCTCACCAGCTGGAATCCCGTAACTGCCAGAATCAACAGAGTTGCTACTCCATGTTGATTCAGAGCTCTCGTCGGCCGGAATCTCGAAACTGTTCGACTCATCAAAAGAAGTAGCTTTACTCACAGTCACGTCGGAATCTTCTTCAGCCACATCATCAGATTTCTCAACATTTTCATCACCCGGAAAATTCTCTCTGTCCGGAGAAGCACTTTCATAAACCCGAGTTTCGACCATCAAATAATAAATTCCATTAACAACATCGTACACCATAAGACCGATCCTCCCACCAATCCAGCTGCCCAAATGACTCCCAACCAAATAACCGAACCTCCCAAACCTTTCCTCACCAAGAAACCCGACGTAATAAGTCCCAAACAAGGTACCTGTGCCTCGAAGGAAACCTTCGGTTACTGTACCACCAAAGTAAAGAGCTTCGAAAAAATCCCATCCCGAAGAAATAATCGGGCCTATAATGCGCTTGGCTTTCTTTGTTGCTAGCTTTGCTGCCTTTGCTCCTTCGGTCTGGGCTAATTTGGCAGCATCTTTAGCAGTCATGCCTTGGGATACTGCATCGGCCAAAGCGGCCTCGATTGCTTTGTTCCTTCTAGTTTCAACATGAAGACTCCTAATGTTGTAGAAATAAAGTTTTACGCCTTCCTTCACTACACATGCGAGGGTCCCAGAACTACCGTCCAAACAATTCAAGACGGTAAACTGCGCACTTTTTGATGCAGCCTCTTCACCGACCAGCAGCCGAAATTTTTCCGCTGTACAGAAAAGAACAATAAAGTCAAATATAGACAAAATGCAAATAAAGAAAAATCGCACAAGTTAAATTAAACAAACACCAGTGAGTAGTTCGAGATGTAGTATCGACAAACGGAGGGACAAGTGCATTCTAATAATGGACAAGTAATTTACATTTTATCAGATTAGATGAGAATGCTTCAACATATTCCAGGGCCGTTGCAATGATGAAGCCAGAGTAACCTTTTTTTAAAATAAAGGTGATTGTCGAATTTATGTCACTCTAAATACGACTTTGACCATAATGTTTTGTTTTAAGATTGGAATTGGAGGATATCTTATAGCAAAAATGACTATGTTTGTGGTTGGATAGAGGAATAGGGCAAGGAAGCTGCACAACCTCGAAATAAGCATCGTTGATGGAAGAAAAACGGAGGTAAGTGTGGAAGAAACAAAAAGCATGAAACAACATATGATGAATATCGGGATCAAGGTGATATGTCAAAAATAGATAATTAATGATTTTGACAAAATGAAGAAATGTTTTAAATATGAGTTCAATCAGTGTACCTAATTCGAATATCCCTGTACAGTATAAGCTCAAGAAGTCTAGTAGAAAAGCATGAAGATTTGGTTTGAGTTTCTCAATTATAAGGCCAAAGGACGAGGGAAAATGGAAGAAGTGCAGGGACGATTTTTTGATCAGAGGTCAATACAGCTACCCTGTCGAGATACTAAAACAACCAAATACTTTCAGATTATCTTCACAAGACCTTTGTGGTTTCTGTACTGGTAAGATTCCTTTCCCATTGAAAAACGGGATCTTCGTTCACCAAAGAAGAATATTTGGAACATTAGAAATAGTTGAAATCTTATTCCGTTTGAAGGGCAGCTAAAAAAATTCAACAAGAAGATTTACCGATCATAAGGTCCAAACGAAAACATGAAGCGGAAAAGAGCTAGTTGACGTAATGGTGAGAGCAAACAGAACAGTGACAGAGATCCAAATCTTGTTTAAAGATAGAATTCGTCAAAATCGAGGTAGAAACTTAAGTGGGCGTACCCTGCTTCTAGTTCTATATAAATCCATATAGAGATATCACTGACATGGATTTTCGCAATTTGTTTAGGTTATCACCATAAGGTAAAAGAAGCAAAGCAATTTAAAGAGGCCAAGATCATTCCATGAAAAAACTAAATTACATTCTAAAGCTCGACCACTGCAGTATTAGTAGAAAAAAACATGTTGAAACATAACGCCCGGATTCGCTATACACAGAATCTGCTTGATGTTTTAACCACTACAGCATATAAACTTTCACAAAATATTCGCAACATTTGTATCCAGTTTATCAACTGGAAACATTACTTATGCCCTTGCCAGATTGCCAGGATTTATACCAGTCGTGTATATATCTGAAACTATATACCAATAATTTTGAATAACGATACAAACACAGTTTTCGTCATATCAACCCTTACATCGTTTGAATATAAAACAATGCTCTACACTTCTGATACTGCAAATGAGTACAACGATTTGTTTAACTGTCTTTCCTAGTTCTTTGATGGTGATCAGACAACAAATGTATATCAAAATTATATCGTTTCCTATTCCTACATGTACAAACTTCCCTGAATATAAATATATTACAAAAGTTCATGAATTTCAAATTTCACATACTGGTCCCGTCGAAAATGCTATATTCAGTAAGCACACTGAAAATAATATCCCGAGGCAGGTAAGAGCTAGTTTTCCTAATCTCGGATCAAAAGTTACACCGGTGACGGATGCCTTGCATCAATGTAGCACCACTAAATCGTTAATTTCGGAGAAACAAAAAATTAAGTAAATAAACAAGATCATTTGTTATCTACAAAAGAGTGTACTAACTAACATAAACATTCCCAAGTAGTATGTAAAACATAAAGTTCCAAAATACTTCACTTCAATTCAATAACTAGATGGGTACTACATCAATCATCAAATTCGAATCTCTCCTTGCACACACACACACACACAAAAAGATGAAAAACTTGCAGTGTTTCCACCAGTCATCAAGCAGAAAACTTGAATAAACCCTTGAATTAGCCAATTATAGCATGAAATTGAACTATCAACTGAGAAAAATCAAAATCAAAACCGAAATCGAAATCAAAATCAAAATCGATAAAGCGAGGGATAGAGAAAAGGGGGTTACATACCTGTGATGCTGAGAGCAATGACGCCAACAGTTAAGAGCAGAATTTGAGCTCTCCTCTTCTGCAAAATCTCCATGATCAAACTTTGATGATTAAACCTTCAATTTATCTATATATTAAAGCCCTAATTCTTCTCGGTGGGAATATCTTGGGTGCGAAGCAAAGGAAAAAAGAAAAGTCGAAAACTGGTTTGAAATGCAGAGGAAAATAAGGATCTTAGAGTTGTGAAATCTAAAAGGTTAATAATATTCAACTGCTAGTGGACCAACTGCTATTTTAATATTCAACATTAACTATTATTTTCCAACTTCCCATCACTATTAGGCCATCGTTTTGTTGCGAAGAGAAGTCATGATTAATTAAATAGGGTTTATTAGGGATAACCCCTTGTTCATATTTTCTAATGAGGTAGATCCAATTTTTTTTCCCCTTTTTGAGATAGATCCAATTTTGCCAACTTGGCAAAAATATATTATATAATTTTCCTTTAATACCCCTGTTTTATTTTTAAAAGGCATTTATTTCCTTTACTACGTGATTTGAGATTTGCTTATACGTTGCCTAAAATCACGGAATAAAATTACGTGAGATCATTGGCCGTTATATCAAATCGTGTACAATATTTTTCGAAGGTTCTCTTCAGCGTTCCAGCGGTTCTTTATCGTCTTTGAAGATTTCTGCACCGTCGTTGAAATAGGATCGAATTTGAGCGTTCGTTGTTGGACGTTGTTAACCGGGTATGACTGCGTTATTCGTTTTTATTTTTCGCTCAATGTCTAGGATTGTCGATTACGGTGGTTAGAAATTTGAAGGGTTGTGTTGATACTTGATTCTATGAAGTAGAACGTTTTTTTAACAAAATTACGTCGTCATATATACATCGTTATTTTTGGCGGATGATGTTTGTTTGGAAGAGGATTGACAGAGTTAGAAGAGGATGCTTCACGCAGATCGGACCAGAGTTGTTTTATATGAGCTTCGTAGTTGGTTTATGCAATAATCGGAATAATTGTCGGCTGTGGTCGAGTTCATGTTTTTGATCCCGATCGATAGTTGGTTTATTTGTTTATAACAGCCGATTTAAGTGTGTTGGGTAGTACATTAAAATATAGTTCGTAGTCTTTTTTAAATTAGCGTATGGATTTTGCATTTTAAATTTATTTTTGATGATATTAATGTATTGTCATTCAAATGTATTTGCAGTCTATTTAATCATTTTTTAGTATTCTGCATTTTTAATTTTGTTTCATGATTTTAGGTTTTTTCGATGGCAATTTCGTAAGGATTTTGTTGAGGTTTGGTGGGTTGGTTGCTATAAAGAGGTGTTTACGATGTAATGGATCGGTAACTTCGGTTAAGTTTTAAACCGTTTTAATACAGTAGTATACTATTATGAATATCGTATGATACTACCATTATCATTTTATTATACTATTATGAGATTATTAATGTACTAGAGTTTTTTAACTCGACATATTGATTTTATTGTGTTATGATGTGTTTTATGTATTTTATCAAAACCCTAGATTGAAATTATGAGATTATTAATGTACTATTTTATTGGTTATGTTGGAATACTTTACGTTGGTGTTGTTCTCAATGTTCTTGTCATTTCAGTGGTATATTGTTTGTAACACAATTCATATCACTACTATAACTGTAATATACTATCATAGCAGATCAATGTACTATATTGAAATTATTAATATACTATGAGGTTGAATAATACGGGATCCATAGTCGATTAACGAGATCCATAGTCGAATTAGATGAATAAGATAGTCTAATACATGATATAAGGAAAATTACCCTAATTGATTAGTATTTCAAACAAACATATTATTCAGTTTCCATATATATTATTATTTTTTCATATATATCATTATTTACCCTAATCGTTTTCATATAATAAGGAAAATTACCCTAATTGATTAGTATTTCAAACAAACATATTATTCAGTTTCCATATATATTATTATTTTTCCAATAGTCATTTAACTAAACCCATAGTCGAATTAGATACATGGGATAGTCTATTAAAAGATATGAGATAGTCTATTAATTTTAAAACACAAATCCGCCGCCGTCACTTCTCAAATCTAGGGTTTTGATGATTCTTCGGCCCATAGTCGATTAACGAGATCCATAGTAAAATTATACCAGTGGGATAGTCTACTAAGTGATATGGGATAGTATATTAATACAGATGTAATTCGACTATGCATCTCGTTAATCAACTATGGGCCGAAGAATTATCAAAACCCTAGATTTGAGTAATCCTATATTTGAGTAACCCTAGATTGGAGCAGTGACGGCGACGGCGGCGGCCAACGACGATATCACTTCTGGTGGATGTCCTGCCCATCAATTGTTGCAATATCAATGATTTAGTGCTCGAATGCGGTATGCGATTATAACAGATCTGCAAATACACAAACGTGATAGTCGATTTAGCCAAAACATATCAACAAATTGATGGATGATAGCGATTCAGCGAGTGGCAACGACGTACCTACGGCAGCTTGCTCGGAGTGCACAAAAATCGCCGTTTCACGGCAGTGCAGACGTCTTCCCCTTTCAATCGACCGCACCGGGAAGTTGTTTTGGGAGGTTTTGCAGTTTATTCGATAGTGGGGTTTGGGATGATAGTGATTTAACGGGAAAATAGGAAGGGATTTGATTTTATTTCAAAAGGTAAAGTAACGGGTTTTGTGGGATTTGATTGAGGGTAATTATGTAATTAGGAAAAGTTTGGGCTGTTATCAAAATGGCAAATATAAATTTGGGTCTACCCCTATTATTTGAATGTTTAAGGGGGTTATATCTAATAGACCCAATTAAATAATTGGACTTAATTTGATGTTTGGTATCTCAATAAATTACTGGGTCCATCCGCCAAAATTATATAATCATGGCTTATCTTGCATTATCTTGTCTTATCTTGACTTCTAACGAGTTTTTTTTTTTTTTGTTGGATGTTGCAATCTGCATATTAATTGAGTTTCATTAGATTATTTAATTTTATCTTGGTTATTCGTACCCTTCTTGTTTGGATAATTACATCTACCCTTGAACTGTGAATTTTCTTACACCTCCACCCACCCCTACAGTGTTAAATTTAGTGGAATCTTCTAAATTCAAAGCATATCTTGTTAATACATAATTTGGTCATCCGAAATCTAGTTTAGGTTTTTCAAGTTGGTTCACAAGGGTAACTCAAAAGGACTACAATTTTTGTGTTCTGAATTTTGACAAAATTAATTTAGAAAAATGTCGAAATCAAGTAATTAAAATAGTGTTATTAAAATTGATACGACATGTAAATCGACGTGGGCTAAAATATATTATGTTTATTTGCCGATTTATTTATTTATTTATCCTGCAGGCCTATAAAAATGATTAAACATTCTCTTGCATATGTAGATCACGTGATCGGTTCTTCCAATTGTTCTCTTATCTCGAATGAATATTAACCTCTTACCAGACAAAATTGCAAAATATAATTAATTGACAATCTATATATAGTCTATACTATATATACAAGGATGAATTGGGTGGTGGTTTCTTCCCTTTTATATAGTGCCTATTATACCCCTATGTTACTCAATTGTTATACTAAATGACTATGGGTAATTGAGTAATTAACAATTTAAATAATAAATAAATCAAATTATATTTATCATTCTCTATAAAGAAAACATTAAAGAAGTTCATTTAATTTAGTCAATTTATTAATACGAAAAGTTTATTTAATAAAAAATAATCATCATAATATAAATTATGTAGTACTTACTAACACGTATGGATTTCATGATTAAACTCGAAGCTTAACTACTTACAATTGTTATTTTTTGCACTTTTAAGAGAAATAAAAAATACGGGTAATATGCCAGGAGCCCCTCAACAGAAACTTAATTTGAGCTAAATGACAATTTCAAATCCAATCTTTTAATTAAATCCTTAGTTTAAAATAATATATGAGTCACATCCCTATTTTTTTTGTTATACCTATCTTGCCCTTATACCCTAAATCCTATAACTTATACATTCACGCTTCCTCAATTCAGATTTATTTTTCTTCTTTTTATTTTTTTCTCTTTCACGTTCTCTCTCCCTCTCCATCTTCTCTCACGTTCTCCCTCTCTCTCTATGCTTTTTCTCTCTATCTTCATTTCTCTCATCTCTCTATATCTCTCATTTTCCCCGGTAGAAGCACGAAGACCGTCGTCAGCGGTGGCGGGAGAGGAACCAAGAGCAGCGGTGGTGGAGGCGCGACTGCAAGGGTTGTGCGGTAGGGGTGTGCACAGGTCGGTACGGTTCGGTTTTTGCAATAAACCAAACACGTACCGATAATATCGGTTTTTCATATTTTAAAACCGTGTATGTCGGTTTTTTTTTGGTTCGGTACTAATCGGTTTTTCGGTTTTCGGTAAATGGTATCGGTATCAATTCGATTTATTTTCGCTTTCGGTTTCGTTATTGGTTCAAATCGGTTCGGTATAAAACCGATGTTTGATTAACGATGAATTTGGACTTCTATCACATTTCTTTGAGAAAATTAACAAGTAACAATCCAAAATTAACTAATAAAACAAATTTACTGCCATTAAAAAAAACAAAAAAAAACAAAAAAAAAACCTACTTCCATAAAAAAAATAATGAGATTAACTAATAAACATGATGTCATTAATGTCATCTTCAAAAAAAAAAAATGTTGCCCCATCACAAAAGAAGTCCAACTACATTAAAAGAGTAAGTATCTGAATGTGGCCACATTGATTATCAAAAAAACTTACCGATTTTTACTATCTATCAAACGACGTAGTTTTGTATTCCCAAATCGGTTCGGTTCGGTAAATCGGTTTGGCAATTTTTTTTTCTCCATACACATACCAATTTTTTCGGTTTTTCAAAAAAAATTTACCGTGTATGTGGTTTTAAGTCGGAACAGTGTATATCGGCTCGGTTTTTTCGGTTTTCGGTTCTGTTTTTCGGTTTCTCGGTTTTTATGCTCACTCCTACTATGCGGCGGTGGTGGGGTCGTGGTGGAGGTGGCGACTGCAGGGGCTGTGCGGCAGAGGTTTGTAGTTATAGTTGTGATGTTATTGAAAGCATATTTTGAATGACGGTGGTCGGGTATGCTGGCGGTGTTGGGGCGAATTTAGGGTTGGTGGGGCGGATCTAGGGTTTGGTGAGGCGAATCCTACTTTTTTTCTAATTTGATGTCTATAGATGTAT